ATATAACATTTCTGTCCCCCTCACTTCTGAAGTTATGGCTATGCCCCTGGTTAATAGCCTAATGTGTTTTAATGTCAGTAATAATTTAACCACCAACAATGCATCTAATATTCTCTCTGAGTTTCCATGTTCCCTTACGAAAATTATCCATGGTTTTACTATGAATAAACCCAAAAATCATGATTATTTGTGTTATGTGTATATATATATATCTACAGTGGGTAAGGAAAGTATTCAGACCCCCTTAAATTTTTCACTCTTTGTTATATTGCAGCCATTTACTAAAATAATTTAAGTTCATTTTTTTTCCTCATTAATGTACACACAGCACCCCATATTGACAGAAAAACTGAATTGTTGACATTTTTGCAGATTTATTAAAAAAGAAAAACTGAAATATCACATGGTCCTAAGTATTCAGACCCTTTGCTGCGACACTCATATACTGTATATATATATATATATATATAAGATTAACAGATAAGCAGCACTTGTGCCACTGCCAGTCTTTTTGAGTCTCCACAGAAAGAGAAGTACTTCTTGGGCTTGTCAGGGAGTGGGTTACAGACGACTTCCTAAAGTCAACAATAATTTCTTTTGTTTAATTAAATTGTTGGCTCTGCAGCACAACCTAAGGTCTCTCAAAACCTCTCATATGTTGTCACATGTAATTAAGGGCTAAAAACACTGTTTGAGGAGCTTTAGTGTTGTGAGAGTATGCCGGTGTGCTCATGGAGACTAACCGCTTTAATCTGTTAGTCAGGGAGTCCAGTTGTGGTATTAAATCCAAGTATGGAGCGTTTTCTAGCGAGTGTCTGAAGTATGATGTTGTTAAATGAAGAACTTATGTCAGTGATCAGCAGTGTTGGGGGTAACGCATTACAAGTAACGCGAGTTACGTAATCAGATTACTTTTTTTCAAGTAACTGGTAAAGTAAAGCATTTCTTTTTAATTTACAAGAGAATATCTGAGTTACTTTTTCAAATAAGTAATGCAAGTTATTTTTTTCCCCCCAATGTATTGATTGACAAGTCTCCTGTCCCCATGTTGAGAGAAATCAGAAGATGTTACTGTAGTTCTAAAATAAATATGAATATGCATTAATCTCACTCACAATAAAAAACACAGATTTGGAATTCCTCAAAATGAATACAAATAATGCAACTCAGAATATGACGCAAACCTGCAATACTTAAATGTTAAACAACACAAATATCCTTTATGTATTTAATCCCATTCTATTAACCAATGCCTTTGCTTCTGACCTTCAATGATCCAGTTCAACCGTACTAATAAGCACAAATTACTCTAGACAAACATTTGTGTGTCTTTGTTTATTGCTGAAGTGTGTTGAAATTTCTTCTTCTGCATTCTACTGTACGGACGTAAATGTACTTTCCCTTCAGCCTGAGGCTTATTCATTTCACTTTTGGTGTGAAAAGGCTTTTATATTTGCCAAAAATATAACTTTTTTATTTTAAAAACAAACAAGCAAGCCCTGCCCATATTTAAAAAGTAACGTAACGCATTACTTTCCATTAAAAGTAACTAAGTAACGTAATTAGTTACTTTTTTAATGGAGTAATGCAATATTGTAATGCATTACTTTTAACAGTAACTTTCCTCAACACTGGTGATCAGCATTATGACATAAGCAGGGCTTAATTTGTGCCGGTACAAGCCGGATCCTCCGAATTTGTCCGAAATCTGATCCTGCACATCATTTGACAGATCCCCTCCTCGCGCGCCAATGAAAGACGTTCGTGTTGACCTATAGCGTGCATATATTTCATGAAAAACTTATATTATGAGCGCGCTTGCCGGGCATCTACATTTGAAATTGAGCAGGCAAAGAGACGTGATGTGGCTGCTCTCACAAACCCGAATACTCGGATCCAATACTGATACACATGCGTTTTTTTTCAGATGTTTACATTGTTAAGACAAAACCGACTGCTTACGAGGATGCTGCCAGGACGGCCATTTTGATGTAATTTTTTGTGTATTTGGCCACGTAAGCGCAACAAGCTGCGAAAAATAACTCAATATGGTACTCGCGAGGCGGCTTTATATGCGTGAGCTTTGGACGTGACTGTGAATGGCTTAAACTTAAAAAGATGTGCAAATGATACAGTACTGTGACAATGCAACAATGAGAGAAGACGTGGTACATCTGAATCACTCGAGCTGTTTTCAAATGACTGATTTAATCTGATAGTTTGTGTGGATTTATTTACTCATCTAACCTACATGATTGCAGGAATTTCCCTCATTTTTAACTCGAAAGCTGATTAAACATAATTCTATTTAGAGATTTGAGGGGGGGAAATTCCATGACTTTTCCAGGCCTGGGAATTGCGGTTTTAAAACTTCTAGACCAGTGGTTCCCAAACCTGTCCTGGAGGCCCCCCTGCCCTGCACCTTTTGTATGTCACCCTTATCTAACACACCTGATTCCACTCATCAGCTTGCTAGTAGAGACTGCAAGAACTAAATTGGGTGTGTCTGATTAGGGAGACATACAAAATGTGCAGGGCAGGGGGTCCTCCAGGACAGGTTTGGGAACCACTGTTCTAGACGTTTCACGTTGACCGTAAGAAGATGCACGCTGTTAATCACGTAAGCTGGTCCTCCATTGCGCAAATGCTCCGTTAGGCTATACCTCTCCCTTCTCCAATCACATGCCGGATCCGTTTCCCCGCATTGTTCCGGGACCTCTCAATTTACCAATTAAGCACTGGACATAAGAGTCTTAATAATGAAAAAAGTGAGAGGGCCAGCCAGGTGGATGACCCTCTTAATCATCCACAGTGGAGTGGCTCTGTATAGGCATCATAAGTAAATGTCTGTATTTAGCCAAGTCCTGTTGAGTAATTGTGTTGCAACAACACTATATTCTTAATAATGGCACATACTCATCTAAGTCCTCACACATGGCAGGTTTCAACATGTTTGTAAATATTCTGACTGTAGTAAGCAATTTCTTTCATTTCTAGAATGGCATGGTGTGCAAGTAAACAAAAATTGGACAAAACTCAGTAGACTGTAGGCTACATGTATTCTGCTTTGGTGTAGACATAACCTAAAACATAAACGTAATCTAGAATACTGTTTCTTCTTGTAGGGCCAAAGACATGTGATAAGTTTAGTAGTGCTTCCTTCAGGTTGGTGGTTAAAGTAACTTGCTATTTTGAAAAATCCCTCAGGGTGTTTGGAAAATGGACATTATAAAGTTCACTGAGCACAATGTCAGACTTAATGTAGCTACTTCGGCGATGTAGGCACTGCAGCACTTATAACATCAGTGAATTATCTCAATAGGTGGCAATAAAAACGCAGCTATACAGTCAATATTCCCGAAGCTGAATGCGATTCAGTAATTGTGTATGAAAAATGATAACAGTTTAATAAACATTAGAATGTTCTTTTCAAAGGCTTGAGCTCACACATGGGCTGTGGCTAAATCACAGAACATTCTAGAAAACAAGATTGCGGCCGCTTCGGAGATTACAGAAACAGTAAACATGAGGCCTTAAAGTAGCCTAGCATAAAAGTATTCTCTCTCAACCAATCATTTTTTATTCTTAAATAAGCGTTGATAACCATCTTGAATGTTTTCACAAAAAGTTCTCATTTGTACGCAGCTTCGGATAAAAGCATCTGCAAAATGAATCAATTCTATGAGAAATATTATATAAACAACAG